TACACATATATATATATATATATATATATATGTATGTGTATATAAATAAAATCAGCACCTTTTCTATTAGTGAGTTATTTTGATGGAATGGCCAATGTCCGATATTTAACTTTATCGCTAATATCGTCCAATACCGATACCATGCCAATAATATTGTGCATCCCTAAAAAAGCATAGGTGAAAAGACAGCCTCCTGAACAGCCCAGCTATGTTTAATTTTCTCTAATTAATGAGCTCTCACAGGTATTAAAACAAAACAAGAACTTTATTAGAAAATATACAAATATGGTATAGACATCACATTTTCTGAAACAAAACCATAATATAAACATAAGATGTTCCTTTGTATCAACTGCATTAAATAACTCTAAAACAATCATTTTACGTAACGAGAATAGAAGTTATATTTAAATGCTGATATTGCCCTTTCAAATAGGTTAATCACAAATGTGTGATTTTTAGAATAGTTTGAAACATCAACAATCTGTTTTTTTTTTTTCCCAGAGGTCATTTCAGATGAAATGTCAAGGGATTTATTCTAAATCTCATAGAATTTGGGGTAGTAAAATGTGTTATTAAACCCTATATGATAGGCTTTTAATCAGAAATCAGTCTAATACAATTGATTTCTGCCGTCAATGAGGACAGAAAAAAAAATCTAGCAGCTGCTCGTCTCACAAAGCACTTTTTTGTGTGTTTGTTGGCTGAGTTATTGGTGGTGCAGCATCTATTGATGCTGAGAAACAGATGGTTCTGTGTCAGCACCAGTCACAGCAGGGCTATGGGAAGAGGGTCTCGTGATGATGAGGTGAAACCTTCACCATCTGTAAATGTTTAAAGCTGTGAATAAGATTATTGCAGGGGTGACACAACAATAGGCCAGATGAGAACAAAATGTCACACAATATTAAATTACTCAGAAAGTGGAACTAAAAGAAAAGTTACAACTTTATCAGCCCTACTAGCTACAGCGTACTTTGTCACTGCCATAGCATGATAAATTATACTCTAGTACTTTTTATTGCACAATTTCTGATCTGATTCTGATTTCTTCTGGTCTTCAATGCTATGACTTAAAACCTGAAAATATCAAAAACAAAACATTTGACCAGTCGGAGCAATTTTTTGAACATTCCAATGTGCAATTTGATGATTTGTACCTTCTCCTTGAGGACAAGAGCTCATACTACAAATGAAAGACAAGTGATAGATTAAAAAAAAAAAAAAAAAAAAAACCTCTGTGTGAGTGCACATTGCTCGTAAATGTCCAGGAGGGAGGGGGTTCTCAGTCCTTCTCATCACCTTCATGGCAGACATTTGAGACTAAATGCCTGGGAGGAAAAGCAAATAAACTGGAGAGCTTTGCATGACATTTATGTGATGATACTTTAAATAAATTAATTCATGCAATTAGCAGAAAAGCTAATAAGACAACTTAGAAAAAAAAATCAAGGACATAATTTTAACAGTGAACATAAAGGCTGAGGCAAAACTACAATATACTTAAATGAGGAAATAGGATAACAGAGACAAAATGGACAATGGTAGTAAAAGTTTCTGAGTCCTGTCAATATGAATGTGAAGTAGGGCTGGGATGGCTCAGGGCAAGCTGATCCCCTTGGCTATTCTTTCGGTTGACTGGACTTACAAGCTATTAGCAGGATCTAATGACCTCATTACAGCTTGCTATCACAGGCAAAGGGGTAATTTAACCCTGTACCCGGCCATATGATGCTGAGCTGATACTGGAGCTGACCAACACACCTGAGAAACGAAGCCTTCACTCACATGCATACAAACATCCTACAACCACAAAGCTGTACATTCAGATTCTGGGGCAGGATTTTTTAATATTCTCAAATCAAATGCTATCTATTGTTTTTAATTCTATAAACATGGGAGCATTAAGAACATATTTGTATGTATCACAGGAAGAAATACATCACATTATAATGTTCAACTGTTCCAAATCACTTTTCCTACTATTTTAAATATGACACAAAGCCACTCAAGAGTAATGAGTTCATCTGTCAGTAAAGTTGTTTCCTTGTGTTAGATCAGTTTTAATGTCTTCTTATAGCACAATCCAAGGACATACTCAGTGTAAGAATTCACCTACAAAGTTTTTTTAATCAACACATAATATTTATATACTTGTGCCAAGATGCTTTTGTTGTCCTCCCTATAAATGTGATTTGTATCCTTAGAAAAATAAGAGTGCTCATTCTCATGAGATCATTATCATTCCACTCTCATTGACAATGTATTGTTAGCCATTTAGTTCTTATCGTTACCTATTTGGATCTATGTGTTTTTTCCTGCGTCATTTGCTTGTTTTGTTTTTGCTGTACAGCGCCTTGGTTGGCCTTGATACTGTTTTAAGTGATTTATAAATACGGTGGTATGGTATTTCTTCACCATTTTCTTCTCAAAACTAATTTCAGTGCTATAAGCAGCACTTGTATGACTTTTTTACTCCGTTGTTGTTTTATATTAGTCATTGAAAGTGCCCAGGGTTCAAATTGCTTGAAAATAGGCAAATCATTAAGTTTAAAACTAAAGCACCGTATTTTTTGCCATATAGGTCACACCTTTTTGCATAAATTTGCAAGGCCTGCGACTTATACACCGGAACGAATAATGTACATTTTTTCCCCCCGTATTTATAACCCAATTTTTGGCTGAGATCTGACGATTTCATTCATTCTGACATGGAAAATATTGAACACTACCATTTGCAGTCGCTAGAGGGCCCTTAAGCATTATGGCAAGCCAAGTGTCTCATTAATAGGTAAAAGTGGCTATTAATGAGACACTTGACTTGCCATAGCAGCACTCCTGAGCAAACATCAAATCATCTGCATTTCACCGCACCGTCCAGTCCAAATGCAGCTGATTTGACCATTAAAGTGCATTTATTAAGGAAAGGTTCAGCTGAGACACATCTTTAATAAGATGTCAAGCAAATAAATAATTGTTTTTAAGTGTTAATCATGTTGCATTCTTGTTAAAGTCCTCCCGTAAAAACTTCCCCGGCTTCCATTTGGCAGCTAATCGATTTTTGGCACAACACCAGCCCACGTTTCCGGGTGGTCAGCGGTGACGCATAACAAATGTGACACGTCAGTGGTGTCACGCAATAGATGTGACTTGTACGACGAAGCCACATATTTGTTTTTTTACACTTTATTAGTCATAATTGGACTGATGTGACTTTTACGGCGGTGCAACTTGTATGGCGGAAAATACAGTAACAACACATTTTAGCGTTGTGTGATCAATTTGTCACTCTTCGCCACAAATTTCAAAAGGTACAAAATGAGTATTTTCTACACATTTATAGCTAGCATGTTTATTTGACTTATATATA